GCCTCCCCCCCCCCCCGCCAGTGCGTATTTCCCTCTCTTTCTCCTCGCCCCTCGCTTACACTGACCGAGGGCAACGACGCCAAACGTCAACCAGTCTCAGAATTTCATCCACTTCCGCCTGGCAGCGCCGGAAGCGAACCCATGGCAACCAGACGTCCCACCCTCCCTTCTCTCCGCTTCGCCTCGAAGGCCACGCCTCCTTTCCCCTCTCGACGAGTGAAAAACTCCGGAGTCGCTCGCGCCGTTTTCCTCAGGAGCCACGCCTCCTTCCACAAAGGCCACGCCCCCCGTGGCTCCTCCTCCTTTAATGCTGAGAAGCCCTTGCAAGAAGTCCGTCAAACAGTAGGCTTGGTCGCGCGCCCCCTTTGTCGTGACGTAAGAAAACGTCACCTCCTTCGCATAGGGGGAAGGGTTACTATATTCATGACGCACTCGGTCCCGTCAGGGTCCTAAATCGCTAGGTTTAAAATTGCCACGCCTACATTCAGGAGAACCCTCCCTTGGGGTTTCTACGTACTTAGTTGCAACTGCAGCGTATTGAAGCACACAGCCTAATCTGCGTTCCTCTTGCGCCCCCTCGTGTGTGTGTGTGTTCTGTGCTGTCAAGTTGCAACTGCAACGTATTGAAGCGCAGCCTAATCTGCGTTCTTCTTGCGCCCCCTCGTGTGCGTGTTATGTGCTGTCAAGTCTGAACCGACTGATAGCTAGCGACCTTAATAGGGTTTTCAAGATACTGTATAGATACAGTACAGTATCTTGAAGGTATGGTTTTACCAGTTCCCCTCACCCAGCCAGCTTCTATGGCTGTGTGGGGATTCACGTATTGAAGCGCAGCCTAATCTGCGTTCTTCTTGCGCCCCCTCGTGTGCGTGTTATGTGCTGTCAAGTCTGAACCGACTGATAGCTAGCGACCTTAATAGGGTTTTCAAGATACTGTATAGATACAGTACAGTATCTTGAAGGTATGGTTTTACCAGTTCCCCTCACCCAGCCAGCTTCTATGGCTGTGTGGGGATTCGAACCCATGCCTCCTGAGTCCTAGTTTTGTCACTCTGTCCACTGCATTACACAGGGAATCTTGCCCCATGGAAGAATTTTTTTGCATGTAGCCACAAGCAGAATATCTAGATTACTCTGCTTATGAAACTGATATTTCATCCAAAATTTCATTCTGTTTCCATATGTTTGATGAAGTAGACGTGTTCACGAACACTTACATTAAAATATAATATTTAAGCTGCCACATGTCGTCTTCTTCTTCTTCTTCTTCTTCTTCTTCTTCTTCTTCTTCTTCTTCTTCTTCTTCTTCTTCTTCTTCTTCTTCTTCTTCTTCTTCTTCTTCTTCTTCTTCTTATTATT